TAACTCTCATTCCAGCACGTTTGATATATCAGATCCGGTTTTCAGCATTAAGAAAGCGATACTATCCTCTCTCAATAAATAAATTACAGACATAAAATCAGCTGATGAATTTGGTTCTGTAGCTGAACAGTTTTAGATCTCGACACTTAGCAAACTCCTGCCTTTCGTGACTCGGCACAAAAATTTAAATAATGGATCCGTACGTCATGCGGGCTGCGCCCCTCGTGCGGATGGGTGGAAAAGGAGGGTAAAACCGTTGGGATTATTATTATATTTTTTACGATGCTCCTTTAACCAGGGCTTAAACCCAGGCCCTTCGGAGTGGTAGTGCGCACTGCTAACCACTACACCATAGCGGCCGCCGACCGATTACCATACAAATAATCACATTTAAAAATACAGCCCGAAATTAAAAAAAAAATATTAACGGAAAATCTATAAATTAAAACTTTGTTTATCTTTGTGGTACAAAGTTTTACGTTTTTCGCTTCCGTCCCGAGTACATATATACATACCCCGTCGGAAATTCAATTACTTTGAAAGCAATTTAAAAAGTACTTTTTTACCAACCACAAGTAGTTTGAATTCTTCCTTTTTTCTTGTAAGCAACTAACTTTATTAACAAGGCGATGTCCTAAAACCAAGGTAATTATCCGACGCTGCATATGTTCCAACTACTTTAAAATTCATAAACTGCACAAATAGTTTGTTTCCAACTACTTTGTCAATTGACTAATTTCTGAGACAAGTCAGTTATTTCCGACAGGGTACAGTCAAACATATTTATATACTTACCATGATCTAAATACTTGTAGAAGGTACTTTCAGTTCTTCTTCTTATCCGCCATGTTAGTTATCTGACAGAAATTGTGTTTCGTATTTTTTGTGGTACCAATTTAAAAAAAAATCAAGCTTTTGACGTTGAAAAAATAAAGCAAAGCAAAGCCAAGAATAACAGTAGAGTAATTTTCGAAAAATATTGCATAATTTTCTTCATAGAAATGCCGAAAAAATTAACTGCTGCTTCCGTGGATATTGATACGGCACCCTGAAATTGTGCATATGGAAACTGTGCATATGTGAAAAAACCGAAATAATGCAAACGAAAAAAA